TTAGAGAAATGGCTGATTTCAGGACCAAAAAAGAGACAAGATGACTAGGAACAACTTTTTGTACCAGAAGTAAGGAAGTGCTCAAGGAATCATGGGGACATGTCAGAAGGACACAGAAGTTAGCTTGAAAGAGCTTTTACTGACCAAATAAAAAACAATATGTCAAAATAGACAATGATAGTAAACATTACGTCCACTGAATCAATTAGGAATATATCAGTCTATGCCAATATAAACAAATGAAAGATTAAATGGAGAGAAGAGAAAGTTCTTCCTTATAATGGAATGTTGACTAATAAACATACAAGGAATAATTGAATTAGAATATCTTCATTTTGCAACCATCATAAACATAATAAATTTAGGCAGTAAACATCAATGGATAGTAAAATTAGTGGGGGAAAGATGGATGAGGGAATGGGTTTTATTTATGTTGTCTCAGAGTATCTCCCCACAAAATAATTATCAATTATACAAGGAAAAAGAGTAACTTTACAATGGAGAAAGATGAAGATATGTCTTTACTCAAGGATCAAAATTAACATCAAGAGTAATGGAATAAATCAACACCATGTGTCACTTGATGGATGCAGTGAGATGTGCACAGTATTATCTTAGTAGTGTCTTGCCTAAACTGCATAGCCTGAATTTAATCATGAATAAACATTAGGCAAACCCAAATTGAGCCACAATCCATAAAATAGCTAGTCTGTAATTGTTCTCCTCATCTGTTGCTATATAACAACCCCCAACCTAGTGGCTTAAAACTACAACACAATTTTGCTGCTATTTGGGCAGGCTTCAGCAGGGGCAGCTTTTCTTCATCCTGTTGTGTCAGCTGGCATTGCCCAAAGCCCAACCCCGCTAGGCCTTAGCTAGAGTAGTTCAAAGGCTAGAAGCTAGAATCATGTGAAGGCTTTCTCGCTCATATCTGTGATACCTGGGCTGGGACACTCAAACAGCTGAGGGCTAGAACAGTTGTAGTCCTCCTGGCATCTCTACCTCTATGTGGTCTCTCTATCACAGCTACTTCAGGTTAACTAGATTTCCTATGTGTCAGCTCAGGACTCCCAAGGAGAGTGTGGGGGTGAGTGGCAAGGGATGGGCAGTGAGATATCAAGCACTAGGTAGAAGCTGTGTGGTTTTTTCTAATCTAGTCTTAGAAATCAAACAGGTTTACTTCCCTGCATTCTCTTAATTAAATGCATCACAAGACCCACCCAGATTTAAGGAGAGTGTTCTGGAAGAACATGTGGAACTGAAATCATGGTGCAATACTTGGAAAATAAAATTAGCCACAATAGGCTGAGTGTGTTGCCTCACACCTGTAATCTTAGCACTTTGGGAGGCCACGGCAGGCAGATCATTTGAGGCCAGGAGTTTGAGACCAGCCTGGCCAACATGGCGAAAACCTATCCTACTAAAAATACAAAAATTAGCCAGGCATGGTGGCGCATGCCTGTAGTCCCAGCTACTTAGGAGGCTGAGGCATAAGAATCACTTGTATGCAGGAGGCGGAGGTTGAAGTGAGCTGATATGGTGCCACTGCACTCCACTCTGGGCCACAGAGTGAGACTCTATCTCAAAAAAATAAATAATCATGATAATAATAATAATAAATAATTTTAAAAGTAATCTTCACAAGATTCCTGTACAATGGGTGATATATTTTCCTTTTTCTTTTTAGAGGGAGTTTCACTTTTGGCGTCCAGGCTGGAGTGCAGTGGCGCGATCTCAGTTCACTGCAACCTCCACCTCCGGGGTTCAAGCAATTCTCCTGCCTCAGCCTCCCGAATAGCTGGGACTACAGGCATGCACCACCATGCCTGGCTACTTTTGTATTTTTAGTAGAGATAGGGTTTCACCATGTTGGCCAAGCTAGTCTCCAACTCCTGACCTCAGGTGAGCCACCTTCCTCAACCTCCCAAAGTGCTGAGATTACAGGCGTGAGCCACCACTCCCCGCCTCTTTTTTTTTTTTTTTTGAGACAGAGTCTCACTCTGTCACCAAGGCTGGAGTGCAGTGGTGTGATCTGGGCCCACTGGAACCTCCCTTGCCCTTGTTCAAGTGATTCTCCTACCTCAGCCTCTGGAGTAGCTGGGACTATAGGCACACACCACCCCACCAGGCTAATTTTTCGTATTTTTAGTAGACACAGGGTTTCACCATATTGGCCAGGCTGGTCTCAAACTCCTGACCTCAGGTGAGCCGCAGGCGTTGGCCTCCCAAAGTGTTGGGATTACAGGTGTGGGTGACTGCGCCCAGCCTCAAGACCCAGAATTTTTTTTTTTTTTTTTTTTTTGGAGACGGAGTCTTGCTTTGTCGCCCAGGCTGGAGTGCTGTGGCCGGATCTCGGCTCACTGCAAGCTCCACCTCCCAGGTTTATGCCATTCTCCTGCCTCAGCCTCCCGAGTAGCTGGGACTACAGGCGTCTGCCACTTTGCCCGGCTAGTTTTTTGTATTTTTTAGTAGAGACGGGGTTTCACCATGTTAGCCAGGATGGCCTCGATCTCCTGACCTTGTGATCCGCCCGTCTCGGCCTCCCAAAGTGCTGGGAGCCACCACGCCCAGCCAAGACCCAGATTTCTAAGCTGAAAGTAAAATATCTGGAGTACATCCTAAGCCCAGGATACTGAACCTTGTCCATCAGACAAAAAGAGACTATCTTAAAAAACAGAACTTTAACAAACAAAAAAAAACTCAGAAGTTTCCTGAATATGGCAGGATTTTACAGAATTTGGATCCCAGGATTTGGGCTCATTGCTAAGCAGTTGTATGAGGCCCTAACAGGGCCAGAGCATAAACCATTTAATGGTCAAAAAAACAAGAGGTTTTGGACCGGGTGCAGTGGCTCACTCCTGTAATCCCAGCACTTTGGAAGGCTGAGGCGGGCAGATCACAAGGTCAGGAGTTCGAGACCAGCCATAACCAACATGGTGAAACCCTGTCTCTACTAAAATACAAAAAATTAGCCAGGCATGATGGCAGGTGCCTATAGTCCCAGCTACTGGGGAGGCTGAGGCAGGGGAATCGCTTGAACCCAGGAGGCAGGGGTTGCAGTGAGCCGAGATCACACCATTGCACTCCAACCTGGGGGACAGAGTGAGACTTCGTCTCAAAAAAAAACCAAAAAACGAGGTTTTATCCGAACAAGGAGGGGTTTGCACAATAATAAATCACACCGACTGTTCTTATATTAACAACTCAATTAGTTAAGCTAAAAATTAGTTAAACTAATATTAAACTAGTTAAACTAGTATTAAACTACAAATTCAAAATATTTACCAAAAGGCTACCTGGCTACATAATTTCTTTTTTTTTTTTTTTTTTTTTTTGAGACGGAGTCTCGCTCTGTTGCCTAGGCTGGAGTGCAGTGGTGCGATCTGGGCTCACTGCAAGCTCTGCCTCCTGGGTTCACGCCATTCTCCTGTCTCAGCCTCCCGAGTAGCTGGGACTACAGGCACCCGCCACCTCGCCCGGCTAGTTTTTTGTATTTTTTTTTTTTAGTAGAGATGGCGTTTCACCGTGTCAGCCAGGATGGTCTCGATCTCCTGACCTCGTGATCCGCCCATCTCAGCCTCCCAAAGTGCTGGGATTACAGACTTGAGCCACCGTGCCCGGCCCTGGCTACATAATTTCAATAGCTCCACTACTCGAACCATCTGGGACTTCATCAAAGGATACCTACCAAGTGTGACATAATTCCTACCTTTCCTAGGATCTTTAATAACTATCTTATTACTACTAATCTTTGGTCCTTATTTGTTTAACCTCCTTGTAAAGTCTGTGTCTTCTAGGTTGCTGTAGTTCAATGCCAAAATAATGGTCATACAGAGATTGCAGCCAATCCCTGCCTCATATTCAGACTCTCCTGATGCTCCACCCTTGGGACCCTCAGACCAAGCAGCCAGAGATTTGCATACCCTCGATAGGCAGGGCCAATGCCCCATTCAACAGAAAGTAAATACGTAAGATTGACTTCCTCCCTCATCAATCTGGAAAAATAAAAAGTAGTCATCTCTGAGACGGGAAAATGAGACAGGCATAATACAAGGTGGTTGCAGAAAAATTTAATAATTCCAGGCAGCAGTTTCACGTAACAAGGAAAAAAACTGTTAAAATATTTGCATAAGGTAGAGGCTGATAAGACTCTAAAAACCAGGGTGTGGGCCAAACTCACTAAGGCTGACAGGACATAACATGGCACTGGATTTGACCTAGGTTTCACCTAGGACCTGATTATACACTTATTAACATACTAAATCACACACCCACCAGTGCCATGACAGTCCCATATTTGGTTAAAAAATGGCACCACAGTTCTGAGAAATCTCTACATTTTTCCAGGATTCTTTATGAATATTCCATTCCTTGGTTAAAGAAATCTACAAAGATAAAAACTTCAGATCGGGCTGTGTGACTCTTGAGTATGTTCACACTCCCCTTTCTTGAATGTGTAATTTTCTCTTTGCAATAAACCTCCATACTTTTATAACCGCCCAGTGGGTTCATCTTGCCCTCTGCCTAGACAGAGTCAATCTATCAAGACGGGAATTGCCATAGAGAAAGAGTAATTCACACAGAGCCAGCTGTGTGGGAGACCAGAGTTTTATTACTACTCAAATCAGTCTCCCTAAGCATTAAGTTTTTAAGAACGAATTGGCTGGGCGCAGTGGCTCACGCCTGTAATCCCAGCACTTCAGGAGGCCGACGAGGGTAGATCACGAGGTCAGAAGTTTGAGACCAGCCTGACCAAAATGGTGAAATGCTGTGTCTGCTAAAAATGCAAAAATTAGCCAGGCATGAAGGCATGCACCTATAATCCCAGCTACTTGAGAGGCTAGGGGAAGAGAATCACTTGAACCCGGGAGGCGCAGATTGCTGTGAGCAGAGATCACAACACTGCACTCCAGCCTGGGCGACAGGGCGAGACTCGGTCTCAAAAACAAACAAACAACAACAACAAAAAATGGTGGGTGGGGGGAAGCCAGTGAGCTGAGAGTGCTGATTGGTCAGGTCAGAGATGAAATCATACGGAGTCGAAGCTGTCTTCTTGCACTGAGTCACTTCCTGGATGGGGGCCACAAGATCAGATGAGCCAATTTATCTATCTGGGTGGTGCCGGCTGATCCATCGAGGACAGGGTCTGCAAAATATCCCAAGCACTGGTCTTAGGTTTTATAATAGTGTTTTATTTCTTTTATTTATTTATTTATTTATTTATTTTAAGACAGAGTTTCACTCTTGTTGCCCAGGCTGGAGTGTAGTGGCACCATCTCAGCTCACCACAATCTCAGCCTCTTGGGTTCAAGTGATTCTCCTGCCTCAGCCTCCCAAGTAGCTGGGATTACAGGCATGTGCCACCACACCCGGCTAATTTTGTAGTTTTAGTAGAGATGGGGTTTCTCCATGTTGGTCAGGCTGGTCTCAAACTCCCAACCTCATGTGATCTGCCCACCTCGGCCTACCAAAGTGCTGGGATTACAGGCGTGAGCCACCACACCCAGCCTCTCAGAGTGATTTTTATCCCCAGGAGCAATTTAGGGAGTGTCAGAATCTTGTAGCCTCCAGATGCATGACTCCTAAACCATAATTTATAATCTTTTGACTAATACGTTAGTACTACAAAGGCAGTTTAGTCCCCAGGCAAGAAGGGGATTTGTTTTGGGAAAAGGCTGTTATCATCTCTGCCTCAAACTATAAACTAAGTTCTTCCTAAAGTTAGTTTGTCCCACACCCAGGAATGAATTAGGACGGCTTGATGGTCAGAGGCAAGATGGAGTTGGTCAGGTCAGACCTCTTTCACTGTCTCAGTTATAATCTCGCAGTGACGGTTTCACTTTCATTATCTTCCAACTAATCCTTGAATTGCTTCTTGGGAAGGTGTCAAGAGCCTGGAGACTGGTTGGGGTTGAGACCCCACTGGCATTTGGGGACCTCCCCTAACCCACTGGTATCAATAAGACCTAACAATCCTATTGCTAGGTATTTGCCCAAGAGAGATGAAAAGATATGTTTACACGAAAACCTGTATGCAAATGTTTATAGTAAAATTACTCATAAAAAATGGGAAACAATCCAAATGCTCTTCAACTGGTCAGTAGATAAACACACTCTGGCACATCCATACAATGAAATATTAGTGGGGAGAAAAAATGAAGGAGGTGGGGATGTGGGACAACGAAATCAATGAATCTCAATGCATTATGCTGACTGAAAGAAGACACACTCAAAAGGTACACTTTGTATGATTCCATTTACATGATATTTTGGAAAAGGCAAAGCTATAGGAAGAGAAAAGAGATCAGTGGTTACCAGAGGTTGGGGAATGGGTGGAGAGGTTGACTTCAGATGGGCACAAGGGTACATACTTTTTGGAGTTAACAGACCTATTCCATATCTTGATTGTGGTGGTAGTTCTATAATATTTATTAAAACTCATAGAACCGGGTGATGGGTGCACCATAATCTCAGAAATCACCACTAAAGACCTTATTCATGTAACCAAACACCACTCATTCCCCCAAAAACCTATGAAAAAAACTTTTTTTTTTTGAGACTGAGTCCCGCTCTGTATCCCAAGCTGTGAGTATAGTGGTGCAATCTTGGCTCACTGTAACCTCCACCTCCTGGGTTCAAGCAATCCTCCCACCTAAGCCTCTCGAGTAACTGGAATTACAGGTGTGCACCACCATGCTCCGCTAACGTTTATATTTTTAGTAGAGATGGGGTTTCATCATGTTGGCCAGGCTGGTCTAGAACTCCTGACCTCAAGTGATCTGCCCGCCTCGGCCTCCCAAAGTGCTGGGATTACAGGTATGAGCCACCATGCCTTGCTTAAATCTATGGAAATTTTAAAAACAAACAAACAAACAAACAAAAAAAACACCCAAAAACCTCATAGGGCCAGGCGTGGTTGCTCACGTCTGTAATCCCAGCACTTTGGGAGGCCAAGGCAGGCAGATCACTTGAGGTCAGGAGTTCAAGACCAGCCTGGCCAACACGGCGAAACCCCATATCCACTAAAAATACAAAAATTAGCCAGGTGTGGTGGCATGCACCTGTAGTCTTAGCTACTCAGGAGATTGGGGCATGAGAATTGCTTGAACCTGGGAGACGGAAGTTGCAGTGAGCCAAGATCACATCACTGTACTCCACCCTGGGCAACAGAGTAAGACTCTCTCTCAAAAGAAAACAAAAGGTCAGGTGCCGTGGGTCACACCTGTAATCCCAGCACTTTGGGAGGCCAAGGCGGGTGGATCACCTGAGGTCAGGAGTTGGAGACCAGTCTGGCTAACATGGTGAAACCCAGTCTCCACCAAAAATACAAAATTTGCCAGGTCAGGTGGCAGGCGCCTGTAATCTCAGCTACCCAAGAGGCTGAGGCAGGAGAATTGCCTGAACCCAGGAGGCGAAGATTGCAGTGAGCCAAGATCATGCCACTGTATTCCAACCTGGGCGACAGAGCAAGACTGTCTCAAAAACAAAACAAAACAAAACAAACAAAAAACACATACAAAAACAAACTCATAGAACTGTACACTAAAAAGGGCCAATTTTACTGGATATAAATTATACCTCAACAAACCTGATTCCCACCTCAAAAATAAACAATTTTAAAATTCTGAGGAATATACAGAAGATACTGTTCAAATCTTAGTGAAATGATTGGAAAACCAGAGAAGAAATCCACAATCAGACATAGGTATACGAAGGGTCCACTAGATGGTGGTATTAATTTTTGTAATAGAGCCTAGAAAACTTTGAAGTGAAGACATCACAGGCATGGCAGTGGAGTAGTTTTTTGAAAAATGTTCTTGAAGTTTATTGCTGTAATTCCTGATGTATGTGTCACCTTGATTTTTGTGTTTTTGCTAAGCCAGGTGTCCTGGCCTTCCACTGATTCTGGGAGGCCATAAATATCCTTCTAGTAAAATTCTCTCTTTCGGATTTGTTTTGTTTCTGAAACAGACTGAATAGCAGCATTAATAGTGGTGGTTAACCAACTTGTTTGTTTATTTTTTGAGATGGAGTATTGCTCTTGTTGCCCAGGCTGGAGTGCAATGGCGTGATCTCGGCTTACTGCAACCTCCGCCTCCTGGGTTCAATAATTCTCCTGTCTCAGCCCCCTAAGTATCTGAGTTTACAGGCATGCACCACCATGCCCAGCTAATTTTGTATTTTTAGTAGAGATGGGGTTTCACCATGTTGGCCAGGCTGGTCTCGAACTCGTGACTCAGGTGATCCACCCACCTCACCCTCCCAAAATGCTGGGATTACAGGCGTGAGCCACTGTGCCCAACCTGCTTTGAGGTTTTTGTTGTTGTTTCTGTTCTTATTTTCCTGTATGCAGAATTTTAAATATGTACAAAATAAACAGAATGGTCTCATATGAACCCTCGGTGTACCTATCACCAAGCTTCAATAGCCTTTGATAATCCGCCATTTTAAATTCAAACCTCCATGACCACCAATCCCCATGTAAAAAGTTTTTTATAGTTGTTTGTTTGTTTTTTGAGATAAAACTCTTATGTATTTTGAAATGCAGAAATTTTAACTGTGCAATTTCAATTTGTTTCTGAAGGACCTAGTTTGGAAGTTTCTAAGAATACAGAACAAAAAGAAAATGGAAAATTATGAGAGAAAGCTTAAGGGGTAAATCCAGTAAACAAAATATAAGGTTACTAGGACTTTTAGGGGGAGTTAATGAAGAGGAAAAAATGAAAAATCAAAGGTATTATTAAGGAAAATTTCTCTAAAATCAAGAAAGATTTGAAACTTTGTTCAAAAAGACCTAATAAATGTTGAATGAGATTAACAGAAAAACATATATGTGTTATACAATACATACCATCATACATCTTGGTGAAAATTCTGAACTTCAAGGATAAAGCGAATTTTCACAAGCGTTCAACTAGAAAACACAGGATACCTATAAAGGGGTAAGAAAAAAAAAAAGCAAGAAAGGATCATGGCTACCACCAGAAGGGTTTTATATTTGGCAGTTTCACCAGCTTCCCCAAGACACATCTATCAGGGAACACCGGTATTCCAAAGAAAAGGGGAAATGATATTAACTGAAGTGAGTAAGGGGAGTTGAAAATGCAAAAAACAAAAACAAAAACAGTTATTCATGACAGTATGGGCTGAAGGTCCCATGCAGTATCAGTTTTGTTTTTATAGTGATAGTGACATTTGTTCCACATTTGCTGAGGGACACTGAGAGCCTGGTGGGGGTGGGTTCCCAGGTTTGTAGAGAAATGTTTTAGTTTGTGTTGGAAAGATACTACCACTAAGTCTTCTAAGAAGACAATAGCAATTTGGGCATGGCTTAGCAATGAATACTTGTCTCTACTCTTCATTTAGCATTAGCAGGGGCAGCTCAACTTGGGGCTGGAGGATTATCTTCCAAGATAGCTCACACACATTGCTGGCAATTTGGGGCTGTTGATTGGGAGCTCACTCAGTGCTGCAAGCTGCAGGTCTTAGTTTCTTTCCACATAGTCTTTCCCTTAGTTCATGGGACTCAGTTCCAGGAGTGAGTATCTCAAGAGAAAGAAAGTGAACACTTCCAGTTTCTTAAGACTTGGGCCTGGAAATTAACCCAGCATCATCTCAGCTGTATTCTGTTGGTCAGTCATGTATAAATTCAAGGGAAGGGGACCAGTCATGGTGGCTCACGCTTGTAATCCTAGCACTTTGGGAGGCCGAGTTGGGCGGATCACCTGAGGTCAGGCGTTTGAGACCAGCTTGGCCAACATGGTGAGACCCCCCAACCCCGGCCCCCCATCTCTACTAAAAATACAAAAATTAGCTGGGTGTGGTGGTGCGCATCTGTAGTCCCAGCTACTCAGGAGGCTGAGGTGGGAGAATCACTTGAACCTGGGAGGCGGAGGTTGCAACGAGCTGAGATCATGTCACTGTACTACTGCACTCCAGCCTGGGTGACAGAGTAAGACTTGGTCTCAAAAAAGAAAAAAGAAGAAACCTTAAAAATCTGCAGAGACCAGATGCGGTAGCTTACACCTGTAATCCCAGCACATTTGGAGGCCGACGGGGGAGGATTGCCTCAGTCCAGGAGTTCAAGACCACCAGAGGCAATATATGGAGACTCCATCTCTACAGAGAAATAAAATAATTAGCTGGGCATAGTGGCGCATGCCTGTAGTACCAGCTACTTGGGAGGCTGAGGTAGGGGATTGCTTGAGCCTGGAAGGTTGAGGTTGCAGTGAGCCGTGATCACGCCACTGCATTCCAGACTGGGTGACAGAGGGAGGACCTGCCTCAATCAAATCAAATCAAAGCAAACCAAACCTCCAGATAAATTATTACATATAATTGCTAAGATAATAGAATAAAACTTCCCTGAACTAGAGAATGATTTTTATCTTCAGATTAATTGAAACGGTTCACTCATTCCCAGGCTGGTGCTTTTAAAATACGTCTACAATTGTCTGTCTTCTTTCTTTCTTTCTTTCTTTCTTTCTTTCTTTCTTTCTTTCTTTCTTTCTTTCTTTCTTTCTTTCTTTTTCTTTCTTTCTTTCTTTCTTTCTTTCTTTCTTTCTTTCTTCTTTCTTTCTTTCCTCCTTCTTCCTTCCTTCCTTCCTTTCCCTTCCTTCCTCCTTCCCTCCTTCCTTCCTTCCTTCCTTCCTTCCTTCCTTCCTTCCTTCCTTCCTTCCTTCCTTCCTTCCTTCTCTCTTTCTTTCTTTCTTTTTTTGAGACAGTCTCACTCTTGTTGCCCAGGCTGGAGTCAATGGTGTGATCTCGGCTCACTGCAACCTCTGCCTCCCGGGTTAAAGCAATTCTCCTGCCTCAGCATCCCGAGTAGCTGGGATTACAGGCACCCACCACCACACCCAGGCAAATTTTTGTATTTTTAGTAAAGACAGGGTTTCACCATGTTGCCCAGGTTGGTCTCAAACTCCTGACCTCAGGTGATCTGCCCACCTTGGCCTCCCAAAGTGCTGGGAATACAGGCGTGAGCCACCGCGCCCAGCCAGCTGAAGCCATTTCTAAGCAGTGTTGAAGATGTGGCTTAGTTCCTCCTGACTGCTTATAGTAAAATGCAAGAAGAGAGAAATGATTTAAAGACAGAATTGTTAAGCCAAAAGCCCAGGGAGGTTGAGGCCACAGTGAGCCATGGGATTGCATCACTGCACTCCAGCCTGGGTAACAGTAAGAGTCCATCTCAAACAACAACAACGACAACTACCCGCAAATATATTCAGCACTGTTTACAGTGAAACACTAGAAATAATAGGAGGCTGATTAAATAGATGACACACCCTTATAATTGAATAGTATAAAGTCTTGTTAAAAGAAATGGTTCTGTAGGTTGTAATATCAAAAGGGATTTCTGATACATGTTTAAGGAAAATGAAAAAGCAAGGCACAGGACATTGTGTATATAGTGTCACATTAAGAAAAACATCTCCCAGGCCAGATGCAGTGGCTCACGCCTGTAATCCCAGCACTTTGGGAGGCCGAGGACTGCGGATCACCTGAGGTCAGAAGTTCGAGACCAGCCTGGCCAACATGGTGAAACTCCATCTCTACTAAAAATATAAAAAATTAGCAGAGCATGGTGGTGTGCATCTGTAGTCTATGAGAGCTATGAGAGCCTTTGCAGCAGGGTTGCCTAGCATAGCCCTGGCGGTGAGATTCCTGCTTGGTAGAGCTGTAAGAGCAGGACCTCTTACCAGTGGGTCCAGAAGGTGGGACCTTCATCCCAGTAGGCTTAGAAGGAAGCATATCAAGTCAAAGAGGATTATTCTCAAGCCTTAAGATCTCATGTAGTTGGACTTACTTGGGACCTGTTGCCCCTTTCTTTCTTCTTCTTTCTCCCTAACAGAACAGGAATATCTATCCTCTGCCTGTCCAACTACTGTATTTTGGAAGCACATAGCGTGTTTGGTTTTATGGGTTCACAGCTGGAGAGGAATCTGCCTCAGGATGGATTGTACCTTGAGTCTCACCCAGATCTGATTTGGATGTGATTTAGATGAGACTTTGGATTTAGACTTTGAAGTTGATGCTGAAACAAATTAAGACTTTTTGGACTATTGGGATGGAATGAAAGTGTTTTGTATGTAAGAAGGACATGAGTTGGGGGGTGGGGGTCCAGGAGCAGAATGTAATAGATTGAATGTTTCTGTCCCCCAAAATTCATGTGTTAAAACCTAATCCCCCATGTGACAGCATCTGGAGGTAGGGCCTTTGGGAAATTAAGTCATAGGGTAGAGCCTTTATGAAGGAGATTAGTGCCCTTGTAAAAGAGACCCTGGAGAGCTCCCTCACCCCTTCTGCCATGTGAGGACATAATGAGAAGGCGGCAAAAAAGATGGCCATCTAGGAACCAGGAAGGAAGACCACACCAGCACTGAATTTCCTAGAACCTTGATTTTGGACTTAACCTCCAGAAGTGTGAGAAATAAATTTGTTATTTAAAAGCCACCAAGGCCGGGCGCAGTGGCTCACACCTGTAATCCCAGCACTTTGAGAGGCCAAGGCGGGTGGATCATGAGTTCAGGAGTTTGAGACCAGCCTGACCAACATGGTGAAACCCTGTCTCTACTAAAAATACAAAAATTAGCCAGGCGTGGTTGCTCGTGCCTGTTATCCCAGCTACTTGGAAGGCTGAGGCAGGAGAATTGCTTGAACCCGGGAGGCGGAGGTTGCAGTGAGTCAAGATTGCGCCACTGCACTGCAGCCTGGGTGACAGAGGGAGACTCTGTCTCAAAAAAAAAAAAAAAAAAGTCACCAAGTCCGTGGTATTTTTCCTTTAAAAGCTTGAATGGACTGAAATACCAGCAATAACATGTTTCATTTCTTAAAAGGTGTAAAATTTGGTATATTTACTTTTAATTAAAGAGTTCTGGTTTTTGTTTTTAGCATTTAATTATTGTTATCCATTGGAAAAAATAGATATTATATACATTATGTATAAAACTGTTTATAGGTAATGTATTTTCTATACCTTACAAATAATGCTAATTATTTCCTAAGGTTGTTTTCTCCCCTATCATTTTGTTATTTTATTTTATTTCTTTTCTATTTTTTGAGACAGAGTTTCGCTCCTGTTGCCCAGGCTGGAGTGCTATGGCATGATCTCGGCCCTCCGCAACCTCCACCTCCCAGGTTCAAGCGATTCTCCTGCCTCAGCCTCCTGAGTAGCTGGGATTAAAAGCATGTACCACCACGCCCGGCTAATTTTGTAGTTTTAGTAGAGACGGGGTTTCTCCACGTTGGTCAGGCTGGTCTCGAACTCCTGGCCTCAGGTGATCCGCCCCTGTCAGTCTCCCAAAGTCCTGAGATTACAGGCGTAAGCCACCTCACCCAGCCTTATTATTTTATTATTATTATTATTATTTTTTGAGACAGTCTTACTGTCTTGCCAAGACTGGAGTGCAGTGGCGCAATCTTGGCTCACTGCAACCACCACCTCCGAAGTTCAAGCGATTCTCCTACCTCAGCCTCTCAAGTAGATGGGATTACAGGCATGCACCACCACATCCAGTTAATTTTTGTGTTTTTAGTAGAGACAGGGTTTCACCATCTTGGCCACACTGGTCTCAAACTCCTAACCTCAAGTGATCCACCTGCCTTGGCCTCCAAAAGTGTTGAGATTACAGGCATGAGCCACTGTCCCTGGCCCACCTACCACTTTAATAATGCATGCATATTGAATTGGGGTAACATGAAAAACACTTTTCCTGATACTTGGCTCCAGTAATTTTTCCTATTGTTTGTAAATCTTGCCTGCATAGATGTAAAGATTTAACATTTGATAGGAAGATCATTTAACCACTAAAGGGGGAATCACTCTTATATGTAGGGAGAAATCAATTATGTGCAAGAAGATTCCTTATTTAAAATCTGATGTGGCCGGACACCGTAGCACACACCTGTAGTCCCAGCTACTCGGGAGGCTGAGGCAGGAGAATTGCTTGAACCCGGAAGGCAGAGGTTGCAGTGAACCGAGATCACACCATTGCACTCCAGCCTGGGTGACAGAGCGAATCTCCATCTCAAAAGAGAGAGAGAAAAAAAAAAAACCATTTGATATCAATACAATGTACTACTACTCTGTGATTTAAAAAAAAGACGGACAAACATTGATACTGATATATTACCATCTTAAATGGATCTCAAGGACATTTTGGTGGATGAAAAAAAAAGTTGCATGATATATGATTCAATTTTGATCCCCAAAGTTGCATACTATATGATTCAATTTTTATAATATTCTTGAAATGATGTAAGTATAGCTGTGGAGAACAAATTAGTGATTGCCAAAGAACAGGGAGGAGGACAGTGGACTGGTGCAACTAACGATGTGTAGTAAGTACTATAAGGGATAGCACTATAAAAGGGTGACACAGGGGACACACACACATACACACACACACACAAGCTAGTGCATGTAAAAACTGGTGAAATTGGAATAAAGCCTGTGGTCTGGTTAACAATATTTTACAGATGTCAGTTTCCTGGTTTTAATATTGTACTGTATTGAGGCTATGATCAGAGGAAGGTGGGTGAAGGGTACATGGGACTCTGCTATATTTGCAATTTCCTGTGAATCTATAATTATTTCAGATTAAAGAAGGGAAACAAATCAAACACGAGACATACAAACTCATCAAATATTTCCTTTTTCCAACACCTACTGATTGTGCGTGGCTTTATTGGCTGCTTGCTTTAACTCCCACAATTCTCTGAAATAGATGTTATGAACTCTATTTTATTTTCATCAAAATGGAGGCTTAGGTTAAGTCATTTGTCCAAGGTACAACTACTGTTAGAGCCAGGGTTTTAATCCAGCACAATCTAAATCCCACTCATGGTTGTTTGGGCTGAATCCTGACTGGACTTAAATGACACTGTTCTTTTCTTTGACGCCCAGACTGGAGTGCAACCGCGGGATCTCAGCTCACTGCAACCTCCACCTCCCGGGTTCAAGCGATTCTCCAGCCCCAGCCTCCCTAGTATCTGGGACTACAGGCGTGAGCCACCACGCCCGGCTGATTTTTGTATTTTTAGTAGAGACGGGGTTTCACCATATTGGCCAGGCTGGTCTCGAACCCCTGACCTCAAGTGATCTGCCCGCCTGGGCCTCCCAAAGTGCTGGGATTACAGGCGTGAGCCACCGCGCCTGGCCTGCCATCACGCTTGTAATCCCCGCACTTTGGGAGGCCAAGGCGGGTGGATCACAAGATCAAGAGATTGAGACCATCCTGGCCAACACGGGGAAACCCCATCTCTACTAAAAATACAAAAAATCAGTTGGCGTGGTGGCATGCGCCTGTAGCCCCAGCTACTCGGGAAGCTGAGGCAGGAGAATCGCTTGAACCCAGGAGGTGGAGGCTGCAGCGAGCCAAGATCGCCCTACCGCACACCAGCCCGGGCGACAGTGTGAGACTCCGTCTCAAAAAATAAAAATAAATAAATAAATAATCTTTCTGCCAGAGGTGAGAGAGCAGAAAAAAAAATTAATCAGATTCTCAAATTCCTGTGCGTCTCTTAGTAGAGAAGGGGTTTCTCCATGTTGGTCAGGCTGATCTCGAACTCCCGATCTCAGGTGATCCGCCCGCCTCAGCCTCCCAAAGTCCTGGGATTACAGGCGTGAGCCACCGCGCCCAGCCACAAGACGTTTTATTGCAACATAAATATAGAGGATGTAACGAGTCATCCAATCACCAATGTAATTAGAGTTGGTTACCAAGTTTCCCTACGCGTCTTCCACCAGGAGGGATAAATGGACTGCAGACAAACCTAGCACCCCTTGAGCAGCTTAATTCGTATCATAAATATGCATGCACCGTAAGGACGCGATTCTCCAGTTAGCCAGGCCTTTTTCCACCCTTTTGGGGGCACAAGGCGACCTTGCCTCCTGATTCAAAAACTTCGTAAACTTCAATCCTTCTGCCCCTTTCCGGTCAGCCACGAAAGCAGCAGCCTGGCACAATTCCCAGCCTAGAGTTCGGGCACTGCTTGTCATCAGCACAACGACGAAACCTACACTCACGGAGACCTCAGACCCCGCGTGATTACATCACTCAACCACCAGCGCAGGCCTGGAGGAACCCACTGTCACGTGACCGCTCGTGCCCAATGACCGAGGCCCACGCTTTCCAGACTGCCATAGGCGCTGTCATAGAGCCCGAGCTTGGGCGGTGCCCCGCCCCGGCCGCACGGTGCGCCGGCGTTAATCCTCCCCGAAAGTTCCGGCCGCCAAGATTGCAGGTTCCCACCAAGCATTGTTTCCGAACTGGGCCACAAGAGCGTGTTCCTGATTGGCTTGCTCTGGAGGTTGGGAAGGGACGTGTTAGAGACTGGGACCACTTCCTGAAGCGCGAGGCAGGAAGTTATATGCGTTTTCTGGAGTCCTGTAGAGAAAGTGCTCTCTGCCGCATTGGTGTCGGCGAGAGCTGGAGGTGTTGGGTCGGGAGACCAGCCGTTCGGTCCCGCCGCAGGTAGGAGCTGGTTTCCATCGCGGCACCACGGCACACACCTCCAGCCCTGAGCCCAGAGTGACTGCCCGGGGGTCTCCTTCAGGCTTCTTGACGCCGTTCCAGGGGGCACCTAGCCAGGCATCCTCTGGGCTTCTAGCCAGAGGACTGGCTCCCGGCTTCAGCACTCTGGGCTGCAGTAACAAGTGCCCTTATCGCCCTGAGCCCTGCCACCATCCCGTGAACCACCGAAACCCTGGTCCAGCGCGACAGCCTTGGACCTGGGACTGGACGGATCCAAAACGCTCAGCCCCGGCCCCCCACAGACGGGGCTCTGCATCGTCTCTGATATGTCACCCACCATCTCCCACAAGGACAGCAGCCGGCAACGGCGGCCAGGGAATTTCAGTCACTCTTTGGATATGAAGAGCGGTCCCCTGCCTCCGGGCGGTTGGGATGACAGTCATTTGGACTCAGCGGGCCGAGAAGGGGACAGAGAAGCTCTTCTGGGGGATACCGGCACTGGCGACTTCTTAAAAGCCCCACGGAGCTTCCGGGCGGAACTAAGCAGCATTTTGCTGCTACTCTTTCTTTACGTGCTTCAGGGTATTCCCTTGGGCTTGGCGGGAAGCATCCCACTCATTTTGCAAAGCAAAAATGTTAGCTATACAGACCAAGCTTTCTTCAGTTTTGTCTTTTGGCCTTTCAGTCTCAAATTACTCTGGGCCCCGTTGGTGGATGCTGTCTACGTTAAGAACTTCGGTCGTCGCAAATCTTGGCTTGTCCCGACACAGTATATACTAGGACTCTTCATGATATATTTATCCACTCAGGTGGACCGTTTGCTTGGGAATACCGAAGGCAGGACACCCGACGTGATTGCTCTCACTGTGGCATTCTTTTTGTTTGAATTCTTGGCCGCCACTCAGGACATTGCTGTCGATGGTTGGGCGTTAACTATGTTATCCAGGGAAAATGTGGGTTATGCTTCTACTTGCAATTCGGTGGGCCAAACAGCGGGTTACTTTTTGGGCAATGTTTTGTTTTTGGCCCTTGAATCTGCCGACTTTTGTAACAAATATTTGCGATTTCAGCCTCAACCCAGAGGAATCGTTACTCTTGCAGGTAGTGTATTTAAACTATTATGGTGTTAGGTTTATTTATCCTTTTGAAAGAGTGTGTGATGTTGGAGGGAAGCTCATTAATTTACTGGAAATCATTGTATGGGCGATAACTCAAGGTAAGTTTTCTGTTTCGTCCAGATGAGCTTCTTTAAATTATTAAAGCCAAAATGAATGACATCAGAGCAATCAAATGATCAGTACTCTGCAGGTAGTTAACAGGGAGAGGCAACCCATCAAATAACAACGGAGTCCAGGGATTCGTGCCACTTGCTTAATACACAAATGCACATTTTTTAAAAGTGTGGCTCATATAGTTCACATTTTTCCTTTTGTCTTGTTGGTTTTAGGTTTCTAGCTTTATACTTTCTGATCCATTTCTACCCCTACCATTGTACCCAGAATCCAGCCTTCTAGTGAGTGGAACAGGGTTTATTCTTTCAAACATTATTGAGTCAGCTACGGGACGGGGTTCTAAGGCCTCTTATGAATAAGGCAGAGTTCTGCACTCAAGAAATAGGGGAGATGAACGTTTTAGGAGACTTCGGAGTTGCCAGTTAGTAGTAACTTCGGAGTTGCCTTTGGGAGTCAGGCTTCACAGTGCAGATAACATTTGACTTTGTTCTTGAAAAAGATTCCACGGGGCCAGGAAATGGCACACCAGGATGCACAACACAAAGTGAAAGTGCACTGAGGCAGGAAAGTACAAAAAAGTACAGGACATTGCCTGAACTGGGTTTGGGAAATCATGCTGAGAAAGGCTGTGACTAAATTAGTAAGATTTTAATTACTATGGGAAAAGGGTTTAAAAGTTTGTCCTGTAAGTAATGGAGGGTAAGGTCTAAAAAATTTCTCCGTTTCTCTGCATTAGTAAAACACATGTAAGTTTTTCTCTTTTTTCTTTTTTCTTCTTCTTTTTAATTGAGATGGTTGGGGGTGGGGGAGTGTCTCACTATGTTGGCCAGGCTGGTCTCAAACTCCTGGACTCAGGTGATCCTCCCCCTCCTTGGCCTCCCAAAGTACTGGGAATTACAGGTGTGAGCCACCCCACCTGGCCTAAGCTTATCTGAGGGTTTTTGTATTTTGTTTTTTTTTTAGCTTTTGTAGCAACTAGAAAACAAGTAAAATGACCAATATAAGGAATAACAATGTCAGGAATATAGTGGAATTCTTCATTTCTGTCAGTGATGATTAATTTAGGGGATTCTGTTTTGAAATTTAAGCAGCTAAACCTCTCAGCTTCTGTGCTACCTTGGAAATTCCCAGTAGAGTAAATGTCCAGGTATGTGGGTGATGGTAGGAGGTGTCACAACTATACTAATTTCCTGTGATCTCCTGCAATCTTACGCATTCTCACACACATCTAACCTTATGTACACCTCCTCAGACTGCTAGTGAGTGAGCCACTATTACTGGTGAAATGATGGTGATAGTACTTTTTCCTCAGTTGTTTGGTTGAGCGATATTATATATATAATATATAATTATATATATGCGCCCAGCCAAAATTAAAAAATTAATTAAAATAAAAATAAGTCAAGGCTGGGTGCAGTGGCTCACGCCTGTAATCCTAGCACTTTGGGAGGCTGAGGTGGATGGATCACCTGAGATAAGGAGTTTGAGATCATCCTGGCCAACATGGCAAAACTCCTTCTCTACTAAAAATACAAAATTTAGCTGGAAGTGGTGGCACTCACTTGTAATCCCAGCTACTCAGGAGGCTGAGTGGGGAGAATCACTTGAACCCAGGAAGACCCAGGAAGCAGAGGTTGCAGTGAACCGAGATCGCACCATTGCACTCTAGTCTATGTGACAGAGCAAGGCTCCATCTCAAAAAAAAAAGAATAAGTCAGCGTAAATTAAAATCCAGTGGCATAATTTTGATCCATTAGGGAACAGTTGTGGCTAAGGGAGTATAAATATACTAATTATTGAACTCATAACAGCATTATCTGGGATAATGTTTTACCAATCACTCTTACATTAAGAGAAAGTTCCAATTTAGCTAATTAGCAATTTAGTTTCCATGGCCTCTTAAACTTTGATTTCACTGAGGCTTTCTCGTCTTAAGTAACATCATCTCCTTAATCCTCTAGGGTGATATAAACATCAGTCCCAGGACAAAATGAAAAGCAGACACCAAAAGCAACAAACTGGCTGGGCATAGTGGCTCATGCCTGTAATCCCAGCACTTCAGAGGCCAAGGCGGGTGGATCACAAGGTCAGGAGACCAAGATCATCCTGGCCAACATGGTGAAACCCTGTCTCTACTAAAAATACAATAATTAGCCCGGTGTGGTGGCATGCACCTGTAGTCCCAGCTATTCAGGTGGCTGAGGCAAGAGAATCGCTTCAACAGGGGAGGCGGAGGTTGCAGTAAGCTGAGATTGCACCACTGCACTCCAGCCTGGGCGATACAGCCTGTAAGACTCCATCTCAAGAAAAAAGCAACGAACTGGTAATAGACAGGATGCATTCACAAAGTATTTCTAGGCAGTGAATTATTATTATTATTCTGAAATGGAGTCTCGCTCTGTTGCCCAGGCTAGAGTGCAGTGGTGTGATCTCAGCTCACTTCAACTTCCCCCTCCAGGGTTCAAGCTGTTCTGCTGCTTCAGCCTCCCTAGTAGCTGGGATTACAAGCATGTGCAACCTGGCTAATTTTTGTATTTTTGGTAGAGATGGGGTTTCACCACGTTGGTCAGGCTGGTCTTGAACTCCTGACCTCAAGTGATCTGCCAACCTCAGCTTCCCAAAGTGCTGGGATTACAGGTGTGAGCCACTGTGCCCGGCCTTGACTTGTTACTTTGAATTTTTTTTTTTTTTTCCTGTGGAATTTGAACTTTGTTCTGCAGTAGATTCTAAAACTAGCTTACTTTTTAATTCAGCTGTTTATATCTGTGGTAGACTGCTGTTTCTGGTTCAAACATTTTAGTTGAAAGTTAGAATTCCTATAGTTTCATTCTCCTTTTTATGACTGAACATACCACATTTATAACATTGTTCTTTCTGGAACTTAGGATAACTAAGAAAAACCAGTGGTTTTGAAAAAGTTATATAGCACACGAAGAATTATATGAAGGAAATATAATTGCTTAGGTGATTACAGAGGAGCTAAGCACTGAGGCAATGTTTAGAAAATCCAAGTATTGAAAGGAAGCATAATTGTTTATTGTTTTTGTTTTTTTAATTCTAAAATATGTTCTGGCCAGGTGCAGTGGCTCACACCTGTAATCCTAGCACTTTGGGAGGCTGAGGCGGGCAGATTGCTTGAGCTCAGAAGTTCAAGACCACTCTGGGCAACATGGCAAAACCCCGTCTCTACTAAAAATACAGAAAATTAGCCGGGTGTGGTGGCGCATACCTGAAATCCCAGCTACTCAGGAAGCTGAGGCATTAGAATCACTTGAGCTGGGGAGGTGGGGGCTGCAGTGAGCTGAGATTGCGCCACTGCACTCCAGCCTGGGTGACAGAGTGAGACTCCATCTCCAAAAATATAAATAAATAAAAAATAAATAAAATACTGTCTGTAGCAGTTTTGATTGTTACAGATTGTTACAGATAAGTGGAGATGGAATATATTGGGTAGATAGATAATGTAAATGAGTCATCTGAGTTGGAGGGACAGAGATAATTTGAGAAATCCATGCCCCTCTAAAGGTGAGGAGTATCAACTCTAGTAAGTTGTAGTTTTGTGACAATAGGATCCCAAGATTGCTAGATCTTTTTTTTTTTTTTTTTTTTTTTTTTTTTGAGCCGTAGTCTCACTCTCGCCCAGGCTGGAGTGCGGTGGCACGATCTCGGCTCACTGCAAGCTCCGCCTCCAGGATTCACACCATTCTCCTGCCTCAGCCGCCCGAGTAGCTGGGACTACAGGCGCCCGCCACCACACCCGGCTAATTTTGTGTATTTTTAGTACAGACGGAGTTTTACCATGTTAGCCAGGATGGTCTCAATCTCCTGACCTCGTGATCCACCCTCCTCGGCCTCCCAAAGTGCTGGGATTACAGGCATGAGCCACCCCACCCGGCACAATTGCTAAATCTTAGGAGTATTCAAGAGAAACTAGAAATTCCTTTTTTATTTCCTGATTTTAAAAACACTTCTTAGGCTCATATAAAAACATGTCTTTAGCTGGGCACAGTGGCACGCATCTGTAGAGTGGCATGACACTTGACACATGACACTTTAGCTGACACATGACACTCAGCCACTTGACAGACTGAGATAGGAAGATCATTTGAGGCCAGGAGTTCGAGGCTGCAGTGCATTACAGTAGTGTCTGTAAATAACCACTGCACTGCAGCCTGGGCAACCTAGCAAGACCCATCTTTTAAAAAAAAATCTATCTAATCTATCTATCTATCTGCCATCTATCTAATCTAATTTATGTCTTCAGGCCACATCTAGCCTGTAAACTCGTAGTTGAGGCCCTCTCCCTCTAGCATAAGTAGTAACAATTAGAAGTGATTGGAATAGGGAGCAGCATATTTGGGTTTAGGACAGGGAACAAGATGGTCTAATGCCAGAGAAGAGAGCTAAAGATACTAGAGTTTATAAATCAGTTTGTTTATAAATAGGCACGCACATACAGGAATAAGTAAGAGAAAGTATTGCTTTGAAAAAGTTGATACTGTGAGTATGAATCTAACCAAACTAAGGACAATAAAAACAGTGTTTGTAAGACATTGATGCTTTAGAGAGAGGAACCATTAATTCCTACCTGATGACAGATTTCTTTGTCCTGCTTTCATAACACATAATTTATAACTCAAAATGCCTGTTAGAATTTGGAAAAGACTAATTGACCGTTTTCTAGATAGACCAGGTATTCTTATATAGGCTATAATACATTATTTAGCATTCATGTCTAGGCTTAAAATGTTACCCTATGTTCTCAGAAAGACAAGCTGTATTCCTTTTTTATTTTTTTGAGAGTGTCTTGCTCTGTCACCCAGGCTGGCGTGTAGTGGTGCAATCTCGGCTCACTGCAACCTCTGCCTCCTGGGTTCAAGCAGTTCTCATGCCTCGGCCTCCCAAGTAGCTGGGATTATAGGCATGTGCCACCATGCCTAGTTACTTTTTGTAGTTTTAGTAGAGACAGGGTTTCGCCATGTTGGCCAGGCTGGTCTTGAACTCCTGACCTCAAGTGATCCACCTGCCTTGGACTCCCAAAGTGCTGCGATTACAGGCGTGAGCCACCGTGCCCAGCCTATTTATTCTCATTAATGTCATCTCCCTATAATTTATTGAGTAAAATGAATTCTTTAGGAAGACACACCAAGTTTGTTTATCCTGTGCATTTAAATTTTCTTTGGCATATCACCATATGAGGAGATGGAGGTGAGAAGGGGGAATACAAGTAGCCAGTTTAAAGAAGTGTGGGAACCAGGTGCGGTGGCTCACGCGTGTAATCCCAGCACTTTGGGAGGCTGAGGCGGGTGGATCACCTGAGGTCAGGAGTTCAAGACCAGCCTGACCAGTATGGAGAAACCCCGTCTCTACTAAAAATACAAAAATTAGCTGGGTTAGTGGTGCATGCCTGTAATCCCAGCTGCTTGGGAGGCTGAGGCAGGAGAATCACTTGAACCCACGAGGCGGATGTTGCGATGAGCCTAGATTGTGCCATTGCACTGCAACCTGGGCAAAAAGAGTGAAACTCCATCTCAAAAAAAAAAAAAAAGAAGTGTGGAGAAAGTATCTATGTTCCAGACCTCATGGTTGGAGCTAAAATATGAACCTTTTTTCTCAGCGGTGTCCAGTTGATAGAAAAGAGAGCTTACTTGCTGTGGGCGTATCTGAGTATCTGGATGATATAGTGGAAAACAATTCTTGCTTTAGAACTAGACCGGAGTTTGAATGCCATTTCTGGCACTTTCTGGCTTGTGATTCTGTTTCCTTGTATATAAAGTAGGAGTAATAATGCCTATTTTGGAAAGTGATTTTGGGATTTAAATGAGATGTCCTCTGTTTTTCTCAGATCTTATAATAGACACTCAGGTGCTAGCTATTGTACCTTTATTGGTTACTAATGAATTGTTACATGCTCTTAATTTCTGCATTCATGAAAGCACTGGACAAGATCGTGGAGCCACTTCAGAATATTTAGTCTGTTTTTTAGGTCTTTGCTCAAAAATCATGTTTATGAAACTTGAACATCAGCTTTGATATCTTGATCATACATATATATACCATGTATGCTTAAGTTTATAAAATACACAAATCAAAATTAACCAAAATGTTAATGATTAAATATTTCAATATTTTTGGTAATAATGGTAAAATACATAAATCAAAACTAACCAAAATGTTAATAATGAAATATTTCCATATTTTTGGTAATAATGTTTCTTTATGGTTGTTGGCATAATAGTCTATGGATGTCTCTAGCATCAAAGCAATGTTAATAAGTCTAAGAAGACTACTGGCTATCAGTTATTAGCATTGGTCTGATTTGTGGTAATTGTATTCATAAAACTTCTTAATATATTTCCTGGCCTCTCTGAGCTATTGGCTTTTTCATTCTTCTGCATGTGTGAGAGATGGAAATCCTTTGAATTAGGGCTTTGTGACTGAACCATTGTCACTACTTCCTTCTTTTTACGTATTTTCTCTTCAAAGCACAAAGAAATTAGAAATATCTTTGTAGCCGGGCGCGGTGGCTCAAGCCTGTAATCCCAGCACTTTGGGAGGCCAAGACGGGCGGATCACGAGGTCAGGAGATCGAGACCATCCTGGTTAACACGGTGAAACCCCGTCTCTACTAAAAAATACAAAAAAACCTAGCCGGGCGAGGTGGCGGGCGCCTGTAGTCCCAGCTACTCGGGAGGCTGAGGCAGGAGAATGGCGTAAACCCGGCAGGCGGAGCTTGCAGTGAGCTGAGATCCGGCCATTGCACTCCAGCCTGGGTGACAGAGCGAGACTCCGCCTCAAAAAAAAAAAAAAAAAAAAAAAAGAAATATCTTTGTCTGGGTACAGTGGCTCATACCTGTAATCTCAACACTTTGGGAGGCTGAGGCAAGAGGATCACTTGAACCTAGGAAGTCAAGGCTGCAGTGAGCCAAGTTTGCACCACTGCACTATAGCTTGGGTGAGACCCTGTCTCAAAAAAATAAGAAAAGAAATAATCTTATCTGCAAACATTGCTGAAACTTGTTTAGTTTCTTCTTTTTTCTCTTGGTATCAAGGAATTTAAATTTTAGATGGACTGTGTTTATTAAAATTGGTAGACTATGCTAAACAAATTTTCAATTCTTTTGCCTCGAAAAATGGAACTCTTTAAGTCTTATATAATTGGAAAACTTTTACTTTTCACTTAACATTAATTTGAATTTCTGGTGACAGTGAAAATTATTTTTTTTCAGGGCTTGTTAAACAACTGTTTTAAATGATGAACAAAACCCTACTCAATGAGAATAGTATTGTACGTGAAACTGTAAACAAGTCATTATTAATCTCATTTTGCAGATGGAAGTAAGAATGCAAAAATAGTGGACATGCCAAGTGAATGCTGTTAATAATATGTAAAATTCTTTGCTTAAACATTTATTACTTAAACTAAAAAATAAAAAAGTGGACATTAGCCTCACTTACAAGGATAATGTTATTAATACATTGTTGTTCATTCCTTTTGAATCAGATTCCAAAATGCTAGAAATTATGTTAAGATGTTATTTTATTCTGGGCATGATGGCTCATACCTGTGATCCCACCTTTTTGGGAGGCCAAGGCAGACAGAATCATTTGAGGTCAGGAGTTCGAGACCAGCCTGACTAACATGGTGAAACCCCCATCTCTGCTGAAAATACAAAAATTAGCTGGGTATGATGACACACATGCCTGTAATCTCAGCTACTCCAGAGGCTGAGGCAGGAGAATCGCTTGAACCCGAGAGGTGGAGGTTCCAGTGAGCTGAGATTGCGCCACTGCACTGCAGCCTGGCAAGAGTGAAACTCCATCTCCGAAAAAAAAAAAAAAAAAAAAAATATATATATATATATATATATATCTTTATTAGGCAGTATAAAATATGGAAAGAACGTAAGACTCAACTTCAGAAGGTTGAGATTCAAGCTCTGCCTCCGCCTCTGCCTGTTAGTGATTTTACCTTTGGTAAAGATTTAAGTGTTCTGAGTTTCTTTTCCTCATCTGTATATAGTAATAACACATGCTTAGCCTATTCTGTTTGCTGTGAGAATCAAATGAGATAACATATAAGAAAGGAATATTTAAATACCAAGGTGAAATTTATATAAACAAATAATGCTATATTTCTCCCTCATAAATGAGGTTCAAACTGTAGTGATCACCTTCAGTGAGCACAGCAGCAAGAGCAAGATTCAATCTAAAGAAATACCCTGACTGAAGAATATTCTAATTGTTTTTGAGAAGAGGTGACTAGGGTCCTTGATCAGTTGTGCCACATACACCATAAAATCAAAAGTAAAAACATCTAAAATGGAGTACAAGTCTAGAATGTTTAAGCTCTAATGCAAGGATTTTCTAGCCAAATCTTATTTTACAGATGAAGAGACTGAGACAGGGTTATCTAATAAGTTTTCTAGTGGCAAACTAAAATGCAATTCTCAGGGTGGTTAATGAGATACAAGTTTTGAAATTAGTTGTACTTATAAGGTGTGAAATCACCATTTTACCACTGACTTAGAATGTAACTTGGACAGCTTGACCTCCCTAAACCTTTGTTTGTTCACCTGTAAATTTGGGCTGGTGATAACCTAATCTATTGGGTTGTTGAAGTAAAGGAGTTGATACATGTAAAATGCATAGCATATTTTTGTCATAAATGATATCTCCATTATTACTATTATTTTTAGCTGTTTAGCAGAATCTTCCAGATCTTTATTCACTCCCTCCACTAAATTTGTTCAAGATGATAGCTAATGGCTCAACTATCTTTTACTGAAACAATTCAAACAGTACTCTTCATGTGTCCTCATTCTGCACCTACGAGTGTGAGCAAATGCCTTTTGTATCATAGTATTGAGATGCGAAGGTTATTCTTAAACAGATTGAAAGCCTTAGAAAGTTTAAAAATACAAGGTAGAAAATCTGATGTGAATAATCGCATGTTGTCAAATTTAATGAAGAACTGAAAAGGCTTGGGTGTATAAGAAATATAACTGGTGTACCTTAAGGGATATGAAAATCGTTTCCCACCCCTAGCATTTTCCTTGAATAAAGTGACATGATAGGCTTTTGTTCACTCAACTCAGTTGTACACTAAATGTAATGCCCTCCACTCCCGCCACCCCCTGCCTTTTTTGTTGTTGTTGTCACTGTCTATTTTGGGTCTCTACGTTTAAGAGTCAGGACTCTTTTGTTCATTTGCTGTGTCTGGTACAATGCCTTGAATATAATAAAGAGGTACCTAAATGTTGACTTTTTTTTTTTTTTTTTTTAAGACAAGGTCTCACTCTGTTGCCCATGCTGGAGTGCAGTGGTACAATCACAGCTCACTGCAGCCTCCACTTCATGGGCTCAAGTAGTCCTCAGCCTCCCAGGTATGGGGGACTACAGATGTGCACCACCAAGCCTGGCTAATTTCTTATTGTTTGTAGAGATAGGGTCCCACTATATTGCCCAGGCTGGTTTTGAATTCCTGAGTTCAAGTAATCCTCCCACCTTGGCCTCCCAAAGTGCTAGGATTATAGGCATGAGCCCCTGTACTTGGCTAATTTTTTAAATAACATTTTAGTTGAAAGTTACTGTATATAGAATTATTTAGTATCAATGAAATTATGTAAATTAAATTAATTATAGATTTAAAACATTTTCAGATTTCCTTTTTTTCTGGGGAACTGTATTTTTAATAACAACAACATTGGTTGCCCTTCTGAAAAAAGAAAACAAAGAAGTATCAGTAGTAAAAGAAGAAACACAAGGAATCACAGATACTTACAAGCTGCTTTTTGCAATTATAAAAATGCCAGCAGTTCTGACATTTTGCCTTCTGATTCTAACTGCAAAGGTAAGAGATTTATAAATCAAATTTATCATTTTCTTATAAGTATCAATATCATGGAATACTTTCAGTGTCTTTTTCATATCACAGGTCCCTTTCCACTACCATTAGAATTTAACGATGAAAAACAATATTTTCTGTTTATCAAATGTATTTGAAAAGATACAGTGATATCAACTTTAATTTTAAAGTAAGCTAAATATCTTGGAGTATTGTAAATAATTATGTCAATTTGAAGAACTGTTAGTAAATGTGGACCTTAATGATATTAATGCTTGGAATGGAGATTAATATCTTCAATAATCAATAGCTCTGCCTTCTTATAATCAGTATACATTTAATGTTGGAGTAATACAATTACTTACTTAAAGTGTGATGTAAAAAGATATAGGGCAGGCGTCGTGGCTCACGCCTGTAATCCCAGCACTTTGGGAGGCCGAGGCAGGCGGATTACGTGAGGTCAGGAGTTCAAGACCAGCCTGGCTAACATGGTGAAACCTTGTCTCTACTAAAAATACAAAAATCAGCCAGGCATGGTGGCACGTGTCTGTAGTCCTAGCTACTTGGGAGACTGAGGCAGGAGAATCGCTTGAACCCAGGAGGTGGAGGTTGCAGTGAGCCGATATTGCACCATGGCACTCTTAACTGGAGCGACAGAGTGAGTCTGTGTCTCAAAAATAGATAGATAGATAGATAGATAGATAGATAGATAGATAGATAGATAGATATATGAGTATTAGAAGTCAATTTAAAAAAATCCATTGAATTATTTAAGTACTGAAAGGAAAATTATACCATAAGAGAAATAGGGATTACTGGTGACTTTTATTCTATATTAAGGTGTCTCAGTTTTATAGTTCTAAAAATATTTTTAACACGTTAGGCTAGAATAAAGGTAAGTATATTTTGTTACAGTGAACTATTGCTAGTGTTGGAGTTAATATTTCTAAAATCTGCAGTCTTATAGGATTTTCATTTTATATACTTAAATCTATGTACATAAACACTTTACACCTATCTTTTGACAGCTTTGAAGGAACCATTTTAGCCTCATTATATTCATTTTAAATAGTGAGTGTTTTTTCCTCTTAATGATAGAAGGCCAGATGTGCTGGCTCATGCCTGTGATCCCAGCACTTTGGGAAGCCAAGGCAGGAGGATCTCTTGAGCTCAGGAGTTCAAGACCAGCCTGAATATGGCGAAACAAAAAATAAAAAAATTATCTGGGTACGGTGGCACATGCCTGGAGTGCTAGCTACTTGTGAAGCTGAAGTAGGAAGATAGCTTGAGTCTGGGAGGTGGAGTTTGCAGTGAGCCATAGTTGTGCCACTGCACTCCAGCCTGGGCAACAGAGCCAGGGGTCTGTTTCTCCGTTGAGACAGGGGTCTCAAGGAAAAAAAAAAAAAAGAATAGGAAGTTCAGAAAATGTGAAAAGTTCAAGGAGCATAACTATATATATATATACACACACATATATATATATTTGAGATAAAGTCTTACTCTGTCTCCCAGGCTGGGTGCAGTGGCACAATCTTGGCTCGCTACAACCTCTGCTACCTGGGTTCCAGTGATTCTCCTGCCTCAGTCTCCTGGGCAGCTGGGACCACAGGTGTGTGCCACCATGCCCAGCTAGTTGTTTTGTATTTGTTTATTTTGAGATGGAATTTTACTCTTGTTGCCCAGGCTGGAGTACAATGGCCCTATCTTGGCTTACTGCAACCTCCGCCTCCCAGGTTCAAGCGATTCTCCTGCCTCAGCCTCCCAAGTAGCTGGGATTACAGGCACAGGCTGAGCTAATTTTGTATTTTTAGTAGAGATGGGGTTTCTCCATGTTGGTCATGTTGGTCTCGAACTCCTGACCACAGGTGATCCACCCTTGGCCTCCCAGAGTGCTGGGATTACAGGCATGAGCCACTACGCCTGGCAATTTTTTTGTATTTTTAATGGAGACAGAGTTTCACCCTGTTGACCAGGCTGGTCTTGAACTCCTGACTTCAGATGATCTGCCCACCTGGCCAAACAATATTATCTAATTATATCACTTAATAATTTTATCATTTAAAATACAGTATTTGCTGGATGTGGTGGCTCACGCCTTTAATCCCAGCACTTTGGGAGGCCAAAATGGGCTGATCACTTGAGGCCAGGAGTTCAAGACCAGCCTGGCCAAGTTGGTGAAACGCCGTCTCTACTAAAATTACAAAAATTAGCTGCGTGTGGTGGCAGGCACCTGTAAGCCCAGCTACTCAGGAGGATGAGGCAGGAGAATCGCTGGAACCTGGGAGGTGGAGGTTGCCTTGAGCTGAGATCACGCATTGCACTCCAGTCTGTGTGACAGAGCGAGACTCCATCCCAAAAACAAATTAATTAATTTAAAAAAAAAAAAACAGTATTGACCTTCTTGGTATATTTCCTTTGAACCTCCCTTTTTTCCCTGTATATGTGTGTGTGCATGTATGTGTGTATACATATACTTCATATATTTATTTGCTCATATACTTTTATTTTATTTTATTTTTCTTTTATTTTATATTTTATTATTTTTTTTTTTATTTTGAGACTGAGTCTCACTCTGTTGCCTAGGCTGGAGTACAGTGGCACGATCTCCCCTCAGTGCAACCTCTGCCTCCCTTGTTCAAACAATTCTCCTGCCTCAGCCTTCCTAGTAGCTGGGATTACAGGCACACGCCATCATACCCAGCTAATTTTTGTATTCTCAGAAGAGATGGGGTTTCACTATGTTGGCCAGGCTGGTCTCAAACTCCTGACCTCAAGTGATCTGCCTGCTTCAGACTCCCAAAGTGCTGGGACTACAGGCGTGAGCCACCATGCCCGGCCTATTTACTCATTTACTTTTAAAAGTGGAATTGAATCATGCTGCATATAATTTTTTATTTTCTCTTTGTCTTATACATTTCTGTAGCATTACATATTTGAAAACATACTTTTTAGTAGCTACATGATATAGTGTGTAAATTTACCATAATCTACTCATCTACTCATTTTTCTGTTGTATATTTTGCTTATGTTTTTAAATTATGAAAATGCACTAGCAAATATTTTTGTGCTTAAGTCTGTGATTTTCTGGACATTTCCTTCCAGTAAACTTTTTTTTTTGAGACAGAGTCTCGCTCTGTTGCCCAAGCTGGAGTGCAGTGGTGTGATCTCCGCTCACTGCAACCTCCTCCTCCCGGGTTCAAGCGATTCTCCTGCCTCAGCCCCTGGAGTAGCTGGGATTACAGGTGTGCACCACCATGCCCACTAATTTTTGTATTTTTAGTAGAGACAGGGTTTTACCATTTTAGTCAGGCTGGTCTCGAACTCCTGAGCTCAGGCAATCTGCCTGCCTCGGCCTCCCAAAGTACTGGGATTATAGGCGTGAGCCACCGAGCCTGGCCCACCCAACTAATTTTTAAATTTTCTGTAGAGATGGGGGTCTCATTTTGCTATACAGGCTGGCCAATAGATTAATATATTTTTTTAAATATATATATGTTTTTGAGATGGAGTTTCACTCTTGTTGCCTAGGCTGGAGTGCAATGGTGCGATCTCAGCTCACCACGACCTCTGCCTCCCAGGTTCAAGAGCTCCTCCTGCCTCAGCCTCCCAAGTAGCTGGGATTACAGGCATGCACCACCATGCCCAGCTAATTTCATATTTTTAGTAGGGACGGGGCTTCTCCATGTCTGTCAGGCTAGTCTTGAACTCTCGACCTCATGTGATCCACCTGCCTCGGCCTTTCAAAGTCCTGGGATTACAGGTGTGAGCCACTGTGCCTGGCTGGCCAATAGATTATTAAGTGGGCAATTAGTGGGTCAATGAATGTGATATGATTGCTGAATTGCTTTTCAAAAGGTTATGCTAGTTTATACTGTCTGCAGCAATATATAAAGAGGTATTTCAATTACAAAGTCTATAATACTGTTTTCTCCTTTTAAAATTCTCCCCAGTAACATCTCTCCTAATTTTTAATACTACAGATTAATTTTCTTTCCTTTTGAATTATATGTTTTTTTGTTTTTTTTTTTTTTGTTTTTTGTTTTTTTTTTTTTGAGACGGAGTCTCGCTGTGTCGCCCAGGCTGGAGTGCAGTGGCGCGATCTCGGCTCACTGCAAGCTCCGCCTCCCGGGTTCACGCCATTCTCCCGCCTCAGCCTCCGAGTAGCTGGGACTACAGGCGCCCGCCACCACGCCCGGCTAGTTTTTTGTATTTTTAGTAGAGACGGGGTTTCACCATGTTAGCCAGGATGGTCTCGATCTCCTGACCTCGTGATCCACCCGCCTCGGCCTCCCAAAGTGCTGGGATTACAGGCTTGAGCCACCGCGCCCGGCCTGAATTATATGTTAATGGACTATACAATATGTATTTTTATGTTGGATGCATATGTTCTTTTGCTCAATGTTCTATTTGTGCAATTTATCCATATTTTTATTTATAGCAGTAGTTTGTTGATCTCATTACTGTATAGTATTCATTTGTATGAATATGCCACAATTTATCCATTCTATCAACAGGTTTTTAGAGCTATTATGAGTAGTGTTTCTACAAAGATTCACATATGTGACTTTTGGTGAAGATAGGTGCACATTTCTGATTGGTAAATATATAGGAATAGAATTGCTGGTTCATGTAAAATGCATAGTATTATGTACTGCCAAATAGTTTTCCCAAGTTGTTGTTCCAATTTTCCCTACCATCAGCAGTGTAAGAGAGTTCTGATTGTTTCACATCCTTGAAAACACATATATTATCTTTTTTTTTTTTTTTTTTGAAACGGAGTCTTGCTCTGTCCCCCAGGCTGGAGTGCAGTGGTGCAATCTCGGCTCACTGCAAGCTCCGCCTCCTGGGTTCACACCATTCTTCTGCCTCAGCCTCCCAGTAGCTGGGACTATAGGCGCCTACCACCACGCCCGGCTAATTTTGTGTATTTTTAGTAGAGACAGGGTTTTACCATGTTAGCCAGGATGGTCTCGATCTCCTGACTGCGTGATCTGCCTGCCTTGGCCTCCCAAAGTGCTGGGATTACAGGTGTGAACCACCGCGCCCGGCCTATATTATCTTTTTAATTTTAGCCTTTCTGGTGGTTGTGTAATGCCATCTTGTTATTGCCATATTTTGAATTTCCCTAATGACAAAAGAAATGGAGCATCTTTTGATGTGATTATTGACCATTTGAATATCCAAAGTTGCCCTTTTCTTTAAATGTGTAAAGTTTTTGTTTCTGTTTAGATTTCATTTTTTGAGATGAGGTCTCTGTCACCTAGGCTGGAGTGCAGTGGCACCATCACAGCTCATTGCAGGCCTGACTCCTGGGCTCAAGTGATCCTCCCACCTCAGTCGCCCAAGTACAGGCATGTGCCACCACCATGCCCAGTGAATTAAATAAAATGTCTTTGTAGAGAAGAGTTCTTACTATGATGCCCAGACTGGTCTTGAGTTTCTGGGCTGAAGCAGTCCTCCCGCCTCATCCTCCCAAAGTGCTGTGCTTACAGGCATGAGCCACTGTGCCAAACCAAACTTTTTAAAATATATTTTGGATTTGAGTCTTTTATTAGATATATGTATTACAAATATCTTCTACTATATAACTTTTAAGACTTTTAACTTTTAACATTTTAAAAGTAAACATTGAAGTCAGTTTGTATATCTTATTTTTACAAAGAGAATGAATAAAATGTAAGTGAAATTATTTTCTGTACTTAAGTGAAATATATGTTACCTTTAATTTTTTTATGGTGAAATTTGGCTCTATTCCAAGAAGTTACAGTGTATACTATTTATAATTTATTTATTTTTATTTTTTTTTAAAGACCAAGTCTCACTCTGTCACCAGGCTGGAGTGCCGTGGTGTGATCTCAGCTCACTGCAGCCTCCACCTCCCAGGTTCAAGCGACTCTCCTGCCTCATTCTCCTGAGTGGCTGAGACTACAGGCGTGTACCACCACACCCAGCTAGTTTTTGTATTTTTAGTAGAGATAGAGTTTCACCATGTTGGCCAGGGTAGTCTCAAATCTCCTGACCTCATATCTGCCCACCTTGGCCTCCCAAAGTGCTGGAATTACAAGCATGAGCCCCCGTGCCTGGCCTTATTATTATTATTATTTAAATATTTGTGTGATATTGAAGTGGCCTCGTGGTCTAGGGTAGTACCTGAGATTTGTTGTCTCACAGCCACAGAGATCAAGGACGTGGGCACACAAAGAGTGAGGTTAACAGCAGAAGTTTAGTAGGCGAGAGAAAGAGAATAGCTCTGTGGTACAGAGGTGTCCTGGAAAAATGTGTTGCCAGATCTGTGGTGAAATACAAGAGGTTTTATAGATGAGCTAGTGGGGAGGCGGTGTCTGATTTAAACAGGGCCTGAAAAACTGGTAAGGTCCAGGTGCACCATTTACACAGGGCACGAATTTCTGGCAGCCCCCACCCTAATTTTTTATTATGCAGGTGAGTTCTCTGCCTGAGCTGCACCATGTTGCCGATTTCTTTTTTACGGTACACATGCTAACAAAAAAGAAAAGATGGAGCTTTCATGGTGGACATGCCTCCCAGGTAGCCCTTTTCTGTTGGTGCAGCTGCTGGCATTCCCCCATGCAAGCTTCCAGCTTGCTTATCTATGTTTGCGACTCAAGTCGCTCTTTGTTAGAAAAGAGATGATTTGGGGAGCTACTTTTTGTTAGAAGGGAAGCTTTGCCGAGGATTCTTTTGCCCTCACTATCTGCCTAAATAATTTCTTTCTGCTTACTGTATTGATATAATTTCACACTTTTTGAAAATGTGTTGGTAGAACTCCTTTATATCCTTTATCCAGATTATCTAATTATTAACATTTAGCTCCACTTTCCTTATTCTGTAGATTTTCTCTTTCTATGTATATCCATTACATATGTCTTCTGAAATACTTTAATTTATACACATTGTGCACTTTTATCCATAAGTACCTTAAGTATGTATTTCCTAAGAACAAGTTTTCTGCTTACAAAACCACAACTCAATATCGGGAAATTTTAAAGTGATATAATATTATTATCTAATTATAGTCCATATCCAAATTTTACATAATAGCAATCTTCATAACTTTACTTTTTTCTGGTTGGGGATCTAATCTAGGATCACACATTGGATTCAGTTGGTATGACCTTTCATTGTCCTTAATATCCTTGACATTTTTGAAGAATGCAGGCCAATTATTCTGTAGAATGGGCTTCTAGTTACATTTCTCCCATGTTTCTTCTTGTTTGGGTTGAGGTTATACAGGTATATAAGGCAGGAAGATCAAAGAAGTAATGTTTTGATGTCTGCAGGGAATTATATTGAAAGCCATATTATGTCTCTTTATCCCTTTAACTGTTGTTTTTAACTTTAATTGCTTTTCTAATCTATTGTAAAAGTACTATTTTTTCTTTTGTAATTAAAAACTGACTCATGGGGAGATACTTTGAGGCTATCTAAATAATCTTAATTTAATTCTTATTCTTTTTTTGTGCTGTTTTTAAGGATTAATCTAACTATACTTTATCACTCTCATTTTATTCAATCTCTCAGATATGTTTTCTCAGAATTACTTTTGAAACATTAAGATGAACTTTGGAAATTTTATTATGGTCAGTCAGAAATCATTAAAAATGTATATATATATATATGGCATCATTTTAACCAGATTTATTTGGGTCAATTAAAGGCTTAAGTTCTTTTAAACCTAAAACTTACAAATCAGTAAATTTGGATTTTTGACCTTGTTTACTATAACAGATTGGACTTTTTGAAGTGGAAATTTAATTGTATTTATAGCCATCTACAACCCCTACCAGTACTGAATTTTCAGTTGTTTTCACTTGATATTATTAGAAAACCAAAAGGCAAAATGTACCTTGTATAACTTGATTGTTGTACCAGGTATAATAATATGATGCTCACTTGTCACTGTCATGAGTCAGTAATAAAATTGAGGTTCTTGAAGAACTTACATATGAATGGAGGAAAATATTTCATAAGTCACGAATTAAAATGCTTTTTTGTTTTTATATTGCAGATTGGTTTTTCAGCAGCAGATGCTGTAACAGGACTGAAATTGGTAGAAGAGGGAGTACCCAAAGAACATTTAGCCTTATTGGCAGTTCCAATGGTTCCTTTGCAGATAATACTGCCTCTGATTATCAGCAAATACACTGCAGGTCCCCAGCCATTAAACACATTTTACAAAGCCATGCCCTACAGGTAAAAATGAAATAAAACCTTACTAAATAAGAAAGGGTAAAATGAGGAACATTCATCAATATCACTAATATCTGAGTGTAGAATTATATATATGGAAAAAGGTTTGAAAAGTATCTTTTTTCAATATTATTTATATGCGCTTTTATCTTTTTAACCTCCTAACAGGTTTAGATTCAGCTTCTTTCATATGGTAGGCAAACGGATTTCTGTTTTTGTTGTTGTTGTTATTTAAGCTAAAATGGAAGTCAACTCAATGTTTCTTTCTCTATAGATTATTGCTTGGGTTAGAATATGCCCTACTGGTTTGGTGGACTCCTAAAGTAGAACATCAAGGGGGATTCCCTATATATTACTATATCATAGTCCTGCTGAGTTATGCTTTACATCAGGTAAGCTTGTGGTTTTCTCAGGAAATAAACTGTTCTGTGTAAAATAAAGAAGACAGCTTTATACAGTTGCCTTAACATAATGGTAATAAATTTTAAGATTTAAGCATGAATCTGACACTGAAGAAATTATTGATGGTGGGCTTTAAACCTTATGACTTTTCACTTAATGAGTTCGGTTCATAGAAAGAGACTTTCTTTTTTGTTTTTTTTTCCAAGATAAAGTCTTGCTCTGTCACCCAGGGTGGAGTGCAGTGGTGCAATCTTGGCTCACTGCAACCTCCACATCCCAGGTTCAAGCGATTCTCCTGACTCAGCCTCCTGAGTAGCTAGGATTACGGGCACGTGCAACCACGCCTGGCTAATTTTTGTATTTTTAGTAGAGATAGGGTTCCACTATATTGGCCAGGCTGGTCTTGACTCCTGACCTTGTGATCCACCTGCCTCAGCCTCCCAAAGTGCTGGGAATACAGGCATGAGCCACTGCACCCAGCTGAAAGATTAAAAAAAAATGTATTCAACAAGTATTTGTTACATTTTAGAATTGATTCCAAAGCCAGCAAATTCTACTCTTGTTAAGTATTTCTCAGTTTATCCCTAGCTTTCAGTTCATTCTTTCTTGAATTCCTAAAATCTTTTCTTTCTGAAAGTATTGAGAAATAGTAGAGGGCCCTAGTTTCTGGCTTAGCTTCTGCCTCTTTTTTTTTTTTTTTTTTTTTTTTTTGAGACAGAGTCTGGTTTGCTTGCCCACTGCCCACGCCCTGCTAATTATCTGTATTTTTAGTAGAGACAGGGTTTCACCATATTGGCCAGGCTGGTATTGAATTACTGACCTCAAGTGATCCGCCCACCTTGGCCTCCCAAAGTGCTGGGATTACAGGCGTGAGCCACCATGCCTGGCCCTGGCTTAGCTTCTATATTGAAAGTTATGACTTATTCTTTATGATTTTGAAAGCTGTGTCAAGCTGCTTTTTCTTTCTTTCTTAAATATGTTTGTAATCCCTAAAAGAAGGAATCCCCACTTTGCTCTAGCCTAAGCTGCTGTTGCAGAATGAGACTTTTTTTTTTTTTTGAGACAGAGTTTCATTCTTGTTGCCCAGGCTGGGGTGCAATGGTACGATCTTGGCTCACTGCAACCTCTGCCTCCAGGATTCAAGCAGTTCTTCTGCCTTAGCCTTCCAAGTAGCTGGAATTACAGGCATGTGCCACCATGCCTGGCTCATTTTGTATTTTTTTAGTAGAGACAGGGTTTCTCCATATTGGTTAGGCTGGTCTAGAACTACCGACCTCAGGTGATCCACCCGCCTCAACCTTCCAAAGTGCTGGGATTACAGGCGTGAGCCACTGTGCACAGCCCAGAATGGGATTTTTTTGTTCTGGATGCAAGTGACTCAAGTAAATGGCAAAGGCCCAGAAATAACCTTTGGGACTTAACTGCAGTTATTGCTAATGCGTATTTCTGAGTCACTTTGGATTTTTCTAGCTTACATCCTTTGAAAGTTATATTTGCTAATGTATTACTTAGTTTTTAACTGAAACCTAAAAATATGACTACCAGGTAATCTTAGTAGTTTTGTGCATACAGTAAATCATTTAGGAGAAATCCATAGTGGGTCATGTCTGACTAAATTCTATGCCTATAAAATTATTGAGGCCAGACTGCCAAATATAATTTTTTTTCTGTTTTGCACATGCTTAGTTAATGCTAGGCATGTAATAGAAGGTTGAAGAAGTGCTTTAACTAGTCAATGCTTTAGTATTTCTGTCAGTAAGTTATAGCCCAAAAACTATTTATTTAGCTTTGTATTTCATTTGAGAATTTCCTGAAGCATAGTCACTGAAACTGAGATAACCAGATGCTTTATGGGGGAAAAAAGGTACAAGGCCAAGTAAATTCGAGAAATGATGTATGACATAAGCCCTTTGTAAGTAGCGCCTTAATGAGTCCTTCAACACATTTTTTTTTTGAGACAGAGTCTCACTCTGTTGCCCAGGCTGGAGTGCAGTGGTACGATCTCGGCTCACTGTAATACCTCCACCTCCCGGGTTCAAGTGATTCTCCTGCCTCAGTCTCCCAAGTAGCTGGGATTACAGGTGAGCGCCACTGCACCCAGCTAATTTTTGTATTTTTAGTAGAGACGGGTTTTCACCACATTGGCCAGGCTGGTCTTGAACTCCTGACCTCAGATTATCCACCCACCTCGGCCTCCCAAAGTGCTGGGATTATAGGCGTGAGCCACTGCACCCAGCTTCTTCAACAATTACTAAGTGAACACCTATTCCCTGCCAGAAACCATTCTGAGTACTGAAATGTAAATGAATAAATCATGCCAAAATCCCTGCCCTCAAGGAGTTTATGTTGTAAAGATTTCAAAAGGCATACAATGAAATGAACCAATTTTGTGTAAGTTAATGTCTTTCAGTTTTATTTGGCTTTGGAACTCCTTTTTCTGTGAACACCTCCAAAAACAATATTCAAAGGAATACCATTATGGAAACACAGTTTGTTTCCATCTTTCTAAATTAAAGGTTATTTCTTGCCTTTTAAGTACTTTTTGCCTCTTAAGGATGTTTTTCTCCAGTTTGTCACATAAATTTTGAAATACTTTTCTTGTGTATATGTAGGAGAAAATATAAATATTCCTATTTCTTTAAATATTTGAGTATTTATATGTGTAATAAATGCATACATATAAATACGTATATATACACATGTAATATGTGATATATATTTAGGTACAGTACTAATAGGAGGTTTTGCATTTTGCTGTGTGCATTATGCATCCTTTAATGCCACCTCATCTAACATTTTCTCTGTGGAGTCTTTCTTGACTACTTGTGCTATAATTAATCTCATTTATATTTATGCCCCAGTAACACAATGTGTGCACTTCTATTTACAATACTTCCTATATTTATAATTATTTATTCCCTATTTTCCAGCCTAGAATAAATTCTTCAGTGTCACAGAGGGACCAAGGTCACATCTTTGTATTGCTTTGATCTTAAAGCCTGGCCTATAGTAGGTGCTTGATGAGTATTTGTTGAATTGAGTTCAATAAATATCATGAAAATTAATTTTCAGGTTTATGATTTTGATGTTCTTAATTTAGACTGTAGCTTTATAAGCTTTATAATCATACTAAAGATGTTTTATGTTTTTCCTGTAGGTTACAGTGTACAGCATGTATGTTTCTATAATGGCTTTCAATGCAAAGGTTAGTGATCCACTTATTGGAGGAACATACATGACCCTTTTAAATACCGTGTCCAATCTGGGAGGAAACTGGCCTTCTACAGTAGCTCTTTGGCTTGTAGATCCCCTCACAGTAAAAGAGTGTGTAGGAGCATCAAACCAGAATTGTCGAACACCTGATGCTGTTGAGGTAAGTATGTTTTAATTTTAGATAACATTAAGCTAATACTAAGATATTAATATCTTTGTTTTGCTTCTAGAAGTACTATATCTTTTTTAAAAATCATATCTGTCCATAGGTTCTGGTATAGAAATCTACATATACTTTTTCTTTCACATCAAGGCTGAGGGTTATAATAATTCAAATCAGTAAGACTAGTCCTCTTAAAGGCGTTTCTCAGTAAAGGAGAGGTGATCTCTTTTTCCCCCACCTTGAGGATCACTATCCTACACAGCAGGCACTATATAAATGCATAATTAAGGCTGGGTGCAGTGGCTCACGCCTGTAATCTCAGCACTTTGGGAGGCTGAGGCCGGCAGATCACGAGGTAAGGAGATCGAGACCATCTTGGCTAACACGGTGAAACCCTGTCTCTACTAAAAATACAAAAAATTAGCGGGGCGTGGTGGTGGGCGCCTGTAGTCCCAGCTACTTGGGAGGCTGAGGCAGGAGAATGGCATGAACCCAGGAGGCGGAGGTTGCAGTGAACCGAGATCACGCCACTGCACTCCAGCCTGGGTGACACAGCGAGACTCTGTCTCAAAAATAAATAAATAAATAAATGCATAATAATTAATAGCTTAAGTTTTGTAGTGATAGAAAAAGAGAATGTCCATTGGCTATCCATGTAACAGTTATAACTAAACCTGAATAGTGAGTAGTTTGTTGATAAATTCTTTCAAAATGATATTAGTCTACTTCTAGATTTGATGGACTGGAAATTTCTTCATATTTCTGAATGCGAAAGCTACATCATGAAAATAGATATTCAGGCCAGGTGCAGTGGCTCACACCTGTATTCTTAGCACTTTGGTAGGCTGAGGTGGGTGGATTGCTTGAGCTCAGGAGTTCAACACCAACTTGGACAACACGGTGAAACCCCATCTCTACTAAAATACAAAAAATTAGCCAGGCGTGGCAGTGTGTGCCTGTAGTCCCCAGCTACTCAGGAGGCTGAGGCAGGAGAATTGCAAAACTGGGAGGCAGAGGTTGCAGTGAGCTCAGATCGCACCACTGTACTCCAGCCTGGGTGACAGAACGAGACTCCATCTCTAAAAAAAAAAAAAAAAAAAAGAAAATAGATATTTAGCTGGGTGTGGTGGCTCACACCTGTAATTCCAGCATTTTGAGAGGCTGAAGCAGGCAGATTACTTGAGCCCAGGAGTTCAAGACCACCCTGGGCAACATGGTGAAACACCATCTCTACAAAAAATATAGAAATTAACGGGACATGGTGGTGCATGCCTATGGTCTGAGCTACTCAGAAGGCTGAGGTGGGAGGATTGCTTGAACCCAGGAGCCAGAGATTGCAGTGAGCCATTATCACACCACTGCATTCCAGCTAGGGCAACAAGTGAGACTCTGCCTGAAAAAAGAAAATGAGTATTGTTTACAGCAAGAACTGAAAATTATTTTTAATCCTGTTAGTAGCATTAGAGAAATTAAGATACAGTAACATATTTTGTCATTGGAATTCAGTGAAATACTGAAATGTTTTAGGAAAAATATATTTTGATTAATTATTTATAAAGTAGAAGCATGTTAATTGCTAAATACTTCCATTTTGAAATTGTAGATTATTTATTATAGTTTTATTTTTACAGCTTTGCAGAAAACTGGGTGGCTCATGTGTTACAGCCCTGGATGGTTATTATGTGGAGTCCATTATTTGTGTTTTCATTGGATTTGGTTGGTGGTTCTTTCTTGGTCCAAAATTTAAAAAGTTACAGGATGAAGGATCAACTTCATGGAAATGCAAAAGGAACAATTAATATATACACTACTGGATGTTCTAGAAAGGTAATTTAGTTTAGTTTTAATTCGGAGAGCAATGATAATCAGTGCACAGGAATATAAAATATTATTTTAAACAGCAAAATTAATAATATAAAATGCCAAATGGTTGAAAAAATAGAAACCTCTCTGTATATTTGATCATATTTTTCTTTGCCTTGTCGATGTATTTAAAGTTTGCTTAAGGTCAGGAAATTCTAAAACAACTTTTCTGGCCTCGTTATTTGATTTATATCTTTTAAATTTACTGACCAAAGCATGTTTTAAGCTGCAATGCAGTAGTCATGGGTGGTAACCATGTAGTTAAGTATAGTTATTAGTACCTATCACTGCTGGATCTGTATTTAAAATTGTGGTACAATATATAAAATGGAGAAGAACTTGATATTCAGGTACTAACCACAACTAGTCTGACATTGTTGGCAGTTAAAATCTTATTTTGAATTGTAAATTAGTTAAATTTTATGTGGAATTTGCTGAGAAGAGAATATAGACTACTGAAATGTCATTTTAGTTATTTTTCTTATGACCATATTGTACAAATGAATCTGTGTTAAAAAGACTATTTTAAATGTATTTCCTGCTTTTGTAAGCATTAAAGATTTATAAGAAAATTATTCAAACTATTTTTTATAAAATGAAAGTTATGATTTTTAAACTTATTGATTACTCTTGTCCCTACCGCCTCTTTTTGGAAGATATTTTGATTCCTTATAAACTTTTACCCTAAGCTTACATATGTTTTCTGTCACAAGTGCTTCATGGCACACAGACAGCCAATGGAGGGGATCAAATTCAGTGTTGTATGTATGTTTATGGCAACATTTTGAAAATAAAAATTAAATGTTATTCTTCAAGTAGTTTTTTTTAATTGCTGAGAAAAAAAAAACACAGTAAAGCTTTCTGATTAAGTAAAATTTAAATGGACAGTACCATAATTTAAAAAACTAATACTTTAAAGAGAGACACAAAGATATTTTGTGCCTTTGACAAATTAATAGTGGAAAAATGTTTCTTAATTAAGCACTTTACTAGTGAAAAAGATCTCACAATTTATGCCAAATCAGGTACTGTATTTTCATTTATTAACACATAACCTTTTGTTTGAATACTGTAATTTTCAGTGGACAGTTGCTATTCCAAGAAAATTAAGCTTTTGAGTACTTTAGTAATTCCCAGCATATTATATACACCGAGTGATAAGGTTCTTTGCATGTTTTGTGTTATGTATTACTCTGACTCTTTAGAGATTATATAAATCCTTCAAAAGTTAGAGGAAACAAGATAGTACATTATGAGTCTTAATTTTATCATTGTGGAACAATGTGTACTAACTCCTGATTATGTTAATTTTATAACATAGGTTGAATTTTAGAGTGGGGTTTTTATAAGTAATGGAGGATAAAATGGGTGGGAGAAGATGACACACAGCACCTGAAGAAAGATGGGGCAGTGACCTCTAAAACTCATGCATTGCCATTGGAAAGCCTGTGTTGGGCATCGATGTCAGATCCTGAAGAATCACCTGGAAAAAATCCCATCCTAGAGGCAAGGAGACACCACCAAACCATACACTGCAGTACTTTGTCACATGGTTGTCCATTATCATGTATTAATAAAGAAAAAAACCCACTTAACTCTTACATATGAAATGTGTTTTGATTTTTAATTTTTGGATTAAGAAACTCAGATTGCCATAATAACCTTTTATTTCTTCCCATTTATATTATTACAAATTATACATACTTTCAAACATAGTTTTTTGTTGTTGTTATTTGTTTGTTTTTTCTTTTTTTTTTTTTTTTTTTTTTTTTTGAGACGGAGTCTAGCTCTGTTGCCCAGGCTGGAGTGCAGTGGCCAGATCTCAGCTCACTGCAAGCTCCGCCTCCTGGGTTTACGCCATTCTCCTGGCTCAGCCTCCCGAATAGCTGGGACTACAGGCGCCTGCCACCTCGCCCGGCTAGTTTTTTGTATTTTTTAGTAGAGACGGGGTTTCACCGTGTTAACCAGGATGGTCTCGATCTCCTGACCTTGTGATCCGCCCGTCTCGGCCTCCCAAAGTGCTGGGATTACAGGCTTGAGCCACCGCGCCCGGCCATTGTTTTTTCTTTTTTAATTGAAACAGTCTCGCTCTGTTGTCCAAGCTGGAGTGCAGTGGTGCAATCTTGGCTCACTGCAACCTCCGCCTCCTGGGTTCAGGCAATTCTCCTGCCTCAGCCTCCTGAGTAGCTGGGACTACAGGCGCACATCACCACACCTGGCTAATTTTTGTATTTTTAGTAGAGATGGGGTTTCACCACGTTGGCTAGTCTGAACTCCTGACCTCAAGTGTTTCACCACGTTGGCCAGTCTGAACTCCTGACCTCAGTCACTTGAACTCCTGACCTCAAGTGATCCACCTGCCTCAGCCTCCCAAAGTGCTGGGATTACAGGCATGAGCCACTGCACTCAGACTTCAAACATAGTTTTAATGTCAGTACATCTTTAATGACTTGAAGTTTTAAAACATTTTAAGCCTTTAAGGTGAAAGCCATTAATTAAGTTGTCCTAGAAATAAACACAAAAAATTATAGTTATTGGTAATTTGAATACATGTTTGTAATGCATGCCAAAATAACTTAATAGCTATGTACAACTGTGTTGCATACATTGATCACTAATGGCATGTAAAAATGATCTACCTAAATCTGAGGATCTGTTTATTGTAAATCAGTAGTACTGAAAAATACCCTGTTTTTATGTGTGAGTGTTTTTCTTGATTGATTGATCCTGATAAATTAAACACTACCTTCAAGTATGGACTTCTAACTCCTGCAGTTAATGCATCATATGTTTACTGGCTAATATTAGATTGAACATTTTTCTCTTTCTGTCAGTATCTCCATATGCATATTGGTTGCCACATATATACATCTGAGTTTGAAAAGTTCTTCTGAGATTACCTAAAAGTAACACCACAGACTCCTTCCATTGTAAATATTTTATTTTATTATTATTATTACTATTTTTAGAGACATGGTCTCACTTTTGACCAAGCTGGAGTACAGTGATGCAATCATAGCTTACCGTCACCTCAAACTCCTAGGCTCAAGGGATCTTCCTTAGGCTGGGTGCTGTGGCTCATGCCTGTAATCACAACACTTTAGGAGGCCGAAGCAGGAGGATCACTTCAAGACCAACCTGGGCAATATAGTAAGAACACATCTTTACAACTTTTTTTTTTTTTTTTTAATTATCCAGGCATGGTGGTACACAGCAGTAGTCCCAGCTACTTGGAAGCTGAGGTGGGAGGGTTGCTTGAACCCAGGAGGTCAAGGCTTCAGTGAGCAGTGATTGTGCTACTGCACTCCTGTCTGGGTGACAGAGTGAGACCCTGTCTCAACAACAAAAAAGGATCTTTCCACCTCAGCTTCTCTGGTAGCTAGGACTATAGGCACACACCACTATGCCCAGCTAATAAAATAATAATTTTTTATAGAGGTGGTGTCCGCTGTATTTTCCAGGCTAGTCCCAAACTCATAGCTTCAAGCAATCTTCCTGCCTTGACCTCAAAATGCTGGGATTACAGGCGTAAGCCACTGTGCCCTGCCCTTGATAAATATTTTAATTTTGCCTGAGAAGTCATTAAAAAGTTTATTCAACACCTTAGGTTTCTCAAATTTTTAAAATATTAACCCTTTGAAATCTAAAGTAATTGTTGGATTTCACCCCTTTATTGCAAGGTTTTTTTAATCTAGGTGTCTGTGGGAAAAACCCCTGAATTGCTTGTGAAACTCTGGATATGTAATTTTTTTTTTCTTTTTCTGAGCAGAGTAAAATCTTGGATGGGCCATAATCCAAAAATCATGGTTTTGAAAGTGGACTGTACTATGAGTCATAATCACAAATCTGAGGTAATAGTTGTAAAAGTGTTTAAAGCATCCTGAAAACAATGTTGAAAAAAAAACTATGATAAAAACTATAAAATCTCTGCATACGTTGTACTGTATTGAACTTGAAACTGAAGGAATTAGAGTAGATAAGACTTTAATGGTAGAAGAGAAACCATAAGGGTGAATTATATCCTACAAAAGAGAAATCTTAGTCATTTAACCTTTTTTTTCTGAGTGACTTTTATTTTGCCTTATTAACAGAAACCTGAGAAAGTCTGTTGCTTTGTATTAAATGGTTGAGACCATTATTTGATGTAAAAGCTGAAAATTTTATTTTTGTATTTTGGAGAATCCTGTGCTTCCAAGAAATTGAAAGAATGACTAAAGCTGTATACCACAGACCCTGCTAAAATGAAAGAAATAACTTGTTGGGGACATTCCATGCAGATTTCCAAAATGTATTTTACCTTATTATTAGAGAAAGAAAATAAACTTTTAAAATAATCTGATAACTAGCATTCATATATCTAATAAGCATTTTGGTTACAGAAGGGAAGGTGATACTGTACATTGTAACTGCTGAGACTTTTTTTTAACCAATGCCTTTAGTAGACAGCAAGGCACAATTATTTTCTCTTAGGGAGGATTTTGAATACCTATTGCAGGCTGGGCATGTGGCTTACGCCTGTAATCCTAACACTTTGGGAGGCCGAGGTGGGCGGATCACTTGAGGTCAGGAGTTTGAGACCAGCCTGGCCAACATGGTGAAACCCCGCCTCTACTAAAACAGCCAGGGGTGGTGGCACATGACTGTAATCCCAGCTACTAGGGAAGCTGAGGCAGGAGAATCGCTTGAGCCCGGGAGGCGGAGGTTGCAGTGAGCTGACATTGCGCCACTGCACTTCAGCCTGGGTGACAGAGCAAGACTGCATCTCAACAACAGACAAACAAACAAAAACAAAACAAAAAATACCTGTTGCAGACCATGTTCTTTTTACTTTATTATTATTGTTATTTTTTTGAGACGGAGTCTGGCTCTGTCGCCCAAGCTGGAGTGCAATGGTGCAATCTCGGCTCACTGCAACCTCCGCCTCCTGGGTTCAAGCGATTCTCCTGCCTCAGCCTCCCAAGTAGCTGGGACTGCAGATCTGCACCACTACGCCTGGCTTATTTTTGTATTTTTGGTAGAGATGGGGTTTTGCCATGTTGGCCAGGCTGATCTGAAAACTCCTGACCTTAGGTGATCTTCGCGCCTTGGCCTCTGAAAGTGCTGGGATTACAGGCGTGAGCCACCACGCCTGACTCTTTTTTACTTTAGATTGTATCTGCCTGATTTGACAATGCCACATTTTTTATGTAATCACCATTTGGTTTGAGACTGAGAGCTCTTTCATTTTCTACCAGTCAAACCACTATTAGAGTGGTTAGTCCCCCAATTTGTTAGCAAGGTAGAATCGGCATGGATAACTTATTTTCCTTCCTGGAATTCTGTTTTGGAGGAGGCAAGTCTTATAGCAGGGCAGACTAATTAATGTACTGAACTCATTCCCTCCTGCTTAAGTGAATAAAAACTTTTATTTGACTATGGATTATAAAGATTGCCTTTAAGGTGCCTTGTTTATTTTGGGGAAGGAGAATGGATATTTTGTAGGAGAAAAAGACTTTATATAGTAAATGAAAAGTGTATGGGCTGGGTGTAGTGGCTCATACCTTTAATCCCAACACTTTGGGATGCCAAGGTAGGAGGATTGCTTGAGCTCAGGAGTTTGAGACCAAGGAGACCGCATCTCTATTTTTAATTAAAAAAAAAAAAAAAGAAAAAAAAAATTCTATGACTTATCACCTTTACTCTAAAAAAATTTTGCCCGAATGTATAATGAAAGAGATCATATTTAAATATCAGCAATATTAATTTGCATAGCTCAAATGAAGTCTTGAATCATTTAGAAAAAGGTTGCTACAGTTTAATAGTTTTTTTATTGTCAATATAGACAATATAACTTTATAACACTTTTGTGTGAAGAATAATGATTAAATGTCATGACTAAAATGCACAAGGTACAGCAGGTATAATCCTTAAGAATTATCTTAAATTTCTTTTTTTTTTTTTGAGATGGAGTCTTGCTCTGTCGTCCAGGCTGGAGTAGTTGCTGGATTTGAGAGGTCTGCCCTGGCGCCGGGGGAGGTGGGGGCATGATCTTGAGGGCTCCCTGCAACCTCTGCCTGCCGGGTTCAAGTGATTCTTCTGCCTCAGCCTCTCCATTAGTTGGGATTACAGGTGCCTGCCACCATGCCTGGCTACTTTTTTAGTATAGTAAAGATGGGGTTTCACCATGTTGGTCAGGCTGGTCTCAAACTCCTGACGTCGTGATCCACCGACCTCGGCATCCCAAAGTGCTGGGATTACAGGTATGAGCCACTGCATCCGGCGGGAATTATCTTAAGTTTCTAAAATTTAATACCCTAGTCAGCTACAATTAATCAGTCACTAATATAAATATTAAAGCCTATGCTTATTTTCCTTGAAATGATCTTAAATGTTGGAAAAGTTTCATTTTATAGTCAGAGCTAGTGAAATTGAAATTTTTTTATCACCTGCCCCTATAAAATTAGAGAAATATAAGATTGGAAAAAAAATTGATAGAAAGTGGCATATTTGAACCAGGCGTGTTGGCTCACACCTGTAATCCAATTAGTTTGGGAGGCTCAGGAGAATTGCTTGAGGTCAGGTGTTTGAGACCAGCCTGGCCAACATGGTGAAACCCTGTCTCT